TGGGGTATCGCAAACGTGATCGAATTATTGTACCCTTCCATCGTCGGAACCAGACGCGATGAGGTCGTCGTTGAAAGGGTTCCTAGCCATGTCAGCTCACTCTTGCTCCTCCGGAACTGCGAGGGTCGGCCATTGCTCACCAGTCGGTGTCCAAGACAACAGCAGTGTGACCACGGAACAGCGGCATGCGCTCGGGCAGCTTGCCCCGCTCTTCCAAGGGTATAACAGCAAAAGCACCACCACCACCGGCCTCCCAGTTCACAGAGAGGTACTTGGGGTTAACCTAGTCGCGTGGTCAGATTATCCGGCGGAGGCGGCTTAGGGGCGATGAAAGCGGTCGGACCTTGACAAGATTGGTATCCCAGGCATTTCTGGAAACACGAAGGTTATCATAGCATTGCTCCTGTGTAAGTTGTGAGGATCGATTCGGGTTGCGATAGATCAGAAGGAAGGTCGCGCACTTTTCTCGTCGGCCGTCCGAAAACGTGTCCTGCTACCTGTCAGATTGCGGGCAATCAATCGGAGGGGAAGTGGAGGGGGGTTAGGGGGGACTCACGGTACTTCGAAGAACGCACGAAACGACCAGACATGACGCTGGTGTATCAAATGACAATTAGAATAGTATGAAGGCGGGGAGAAGTAGAAACGAAAAGGAAGCAAGGCAATGACAGAAGCAAGAGAACAAGAGACAATGGCAAGGAGGAGGAGGAGGAGGAGGACTGAGAGTGGATGGTGGATGGAACAAACGGGGCAGGCAAGCTTGTTCTTGATTTGGTCGGTCTGCAAGCAGCAGCAGCAGCGGCGGCGGCGCAGCGGCTACTAGTTTAGTAGACCGTAGAAAGAAGGGAACAAGTGGAAACCCGCGCGGGCGGGCCAGAACTGGAGTAAATAGTCGGAGATGGACGGGTCTAGTCAAGTCAAGGACCCAAGGAAACAAAATAGAAAGGGTCTGATAGAGTATCCAGAGAAGTAAACAACTGAAGAAAACTGAAGCTTTCCCAATATGGTCAGGTGAAGTTGTACAAAGCCTCCCACTCTCTATCGAATTGATCAACGAAGCTTAGAAAATGGTAACAATCGAGTAAATACGAGTACGACAATCAGGTCAATACCGCTTGTCTTTACCTGGCCTAGCGTATCTCTTCCCCCCGCCAGTCAGCAGCTGAGTCAGCGCAATTTGTTTACCGCCCTCCCGTCGCTGGAGAAACGGTAAGTTGCAACAGAGACAAACCACCGGCCGGCCTTGGATAGCCTGTTTACTGCCGGGTTCAACTCCTCTTCATCCGAACGCCAACCAACCTGTACCTTAATTACACACACCCGTCGCCCCTCCTGGCATGTTGCAGTCTTGTCTCCACCCATTGTGAATTGCTCTGCTCGCTTTGCTTATCCCACGCGTCTCGATTGCGACCTTACCTTGCGCTAGAATTTGACCTCGTCCGCTGTCAATTTCCTCCTAAGAATCCTCTTGACTTGTTAGGGGCTCGTGGCTCCCTGCCCTCAGCATGGAGAACGATCACATGGTAATAGCAAGCGGAATTTATTCGGTCACATAGTCAGGCTGACGCGATAATCGATCCAGTCAAAGACATCTTCACGAACTCGAATCCCAACAGTCGGCCTGAAAGAAATGAATCCGGCTTCCACAAACGCCCGCTCGGGGCTCGTGCAACCCGGTACCATCGCTGGCGCAGTGACAAGTAAGACTTCAGGCCTGTCGCGTACGTCCCTGGAGGTTTGCTCAGGGGTGGAGGAGCTTCAACACTAACAAGAGCAGAGCCGGGCCGTCCACGAAGCACAACCCAGTCCGCTGCAGCAACTTCAACATCCCGTATTGCCAGCAGCACAGTCAAGACGCACGGCCGTGCGAACACCTACAGCTCCAATACCCTTGGCCGGTCCGCATCTACTGTCTCAAGGACGAAATCGACCGTCTCGTCTTCCGCCGGGCCCACCGCACGACCGCACACGAGTATGTCGCGTTCACACACTGTTACCAATTCCCGGAGACCAATGGCCAATGCCATTCCCCGTGCAGCCACGGCAATGGGCTCTCGTGAACAGGAGGACTCGGAGGGTACCATACTTGGAAAACGTAAGGGTAGGCGCGAGTTTGACTGCTTTTCATCCCCTGCTACCGTCCCTCAGGCCACAAGGACTCTACCAAGCGATGAGACTTCCCGGATCTCGCCTGGGACCCAGCGTGAGGACTCACCATGCTCGCCGTTGGACGGACTGGCTTTGGTTTCTGGCCCCATTTATCCCTTGGTTTCTAAATTCCCTCTCGCGCACCATGCTTCTATGAGTCAATTGCGTTATCATGCCCTGTCTTCTAGATCTCCCTTCACTACTCCCGTTAGACCTCCCCCATCTACCCCTCTTCTGTCCGTTACTCGCTCTTCCCGAAAGCCATCTCGTTTGCCACAGTTTCTTACCAAGGATTCAATGATCAAGTCTTTTAACTATTCTATAGGTGGCGATTGGGACCTGGATCTCCGAGAAAAGCGAATGTATGACCTTGTGCGAAGCATGGAAGAACGTGTCAGTCAACAGGGACAATCGAGCACAGCGCTGAAAGATGCAGTGGATTTATACAAGTCTAGAGGTGAGGGAACAGTGCGCGCTGATCGTGGCTTTCCGTGCTGACTCAATATCACTCATAGTGAGCGAACTAGAGGCGTCTTCAAAAGAACTTACGGAAACAAATGTTACACTGCGCATCGAAATGGGCTCAATGGAAAATCGACTTGCTGGTGCGGAGAATGCACTCAGAGACGCACAGAGAGACCATGAAATGATCATCGACGAAATCAACGCCCGCCGACGTATGGAATTGGAGACAGTACGGCTGGAGGGCAGAAAAGAAATGGAGAAAATGTACTCGCGGCACCAAGAGGAGATGCAGGAACTCAGACGGCGCTTTGAAAACGAGATGGAGGAAGAACGAGCTGCGCGGATGCGCGAACTTAGTCAGGTCACTTCGCAATCTGCCCTTGACACACAGCGCACGCATGCCGAGCTGGACAAGAAGGAACGAGAAATCGCCACCCTGCAGCACGATATACACAGCCTGAAGGCCGATTTGGAGCGTGAACGCAAGGCCAACCGAGACCTGAGGCACAATCTGGATGCAGCCAGCACTAATACTGTAACTATGGAGTCATCCGTGCGTGCGTTGAAAGCCCGCATCGAGTTCCTTGAGTCTGGTCGCGAAGAGCAGTCCCAGGCTTTTGAGCGTCTGAACCAACAGATGATGGACGCGTTGGCTGAGACGAATGCCACCAAGGAAAAGCTCCGCAAGGAAGAGACATTGAGAAGAAAGCTTCACAACCAAGTACAAGAACTCAAAGGCAATATTCGAGTTTTCTGCCGAGTCCGCCCCTCGCTACCCTCGGATCCTGTCGATCAAGCCGCCCAGATCCAGTTTCCAGATGACGCTGAGGATTGTAAAGAGATCGCAGTGCTAGGCCCTGAAGAGAAGAGCAGCCTTGGAGCGATCTCAAGGAAGAACAGCAACTTCTCATTCGATCGTGTGTTCGGGCCGTCAACCCAGAACGCAGAGGTCTTCGATGAAATCAGCCAGCTGGTGCAGAGTGCTCTGGATGGATACAATGTGTGTATCTTCTGCTACGGCCAGACCGGCAGTGGTAAAACCTACACTATGTCATCTCTTGACGGTATGATTCCCCGGGCCGTGCACCAGATCTATGAGACAGCAACTGGCCTAGAGGAGAAGGGCTGGAGGTACACGATGGAAGGTAATTTTGTGGAGGTGTACAACGAGAACCTCAACGACTTGCTGGGCAACCCAGACGACCTGGATAGAAAGAAGCTCGAAATCCGCCATGACATGCAGAGGGGCAAGACCATTATAACGGATGCTACCACTGTCCGCCTAGAATCGCCTGAGATGGTTGAGACCATCCTCAAGAGGGCCGCCTCCAACCGCTCAGTCGCTGCAACCAAAGCCAATGAGAGATCTTCTCGGTCTCACTCGGTCTTCATTCTCAAGCTCATCGGTGAGAACGACATCACGGGTGAGCGCAGCGAGGGAACCCTTAACCTCGTCGACCTTGCTGGTAGTGAGCGTCTCAGCCACAGTGGGGCAACTGGCGAGCGGTTGCGCGAGACACAGAACATCAATCGCAGTTTGAGCTGCTTGGGCGATGTGATCGCTGCTCTGGGACAAGGCAAGGAAGGTGGACATATTCCCTACCGCAACAGCAAGGTACGCTGCGCACGTGACTCTTTCGGTGTCGTATCACACAGCTAACCACCTAACAGTTAACCTACCTCCTCCAATTCTCCCTTGGCGGCAACTCAAAGACCCTGATGTTCGTCATGGTCAGCCCGCTGCAGGCCCACCTGTCCGAGACCTTGACCAGTCTCAAATTTGCTACCAAAGTACATAATACGCATATCGGGACAGCCAAGCGGCAGGCACGGATTCGCGAGTGCTGACTGCGGGGAACTTTTGTGGATTGAATGATACCTTTTGACTTTCTTCATTGTTTGTCTGTTGTGTTTTACAATGTGGGATGTTGGCCTTCATGAACCAGGCCTTGGCAGCGGAGTCTTGGAGTATGCTTTCTTCTGTGAATAGGGTAATGGACAATATTAGCCTTCTTGCTTTCGTCGGTTTGAGAATCTCAGTGTTGGTTTGTGTATTATCTGTGGTTCTGTGTTTGACCTTGATGGTTCCTACCACCCACTATATATTGATACTACAAAGCCTCTGTACGGGCTGGGTTGTCTCTTGTTTCGCTGGGATAGAAGGTTACACCAAGCCAGCTTCTAAAGATTTTCTTAAGCCATACACGTCACAATCGCTGTACCGTACTCTATAAGTCTTTCATGAACTATCAAACAAGAGACAGTCTGTTCTGAATTCCCAGACGGTGATCAAAAGCTGCAGAGCGGGAAGAGATGGCAGAAATGTTCGCCTTTCATGGCTCGTCCGCGGCCCAAGCCTACCGGAACAAATATCATGGATGCATTATCTTCGTTACACATTTGTACAGATGCATTGAGAGTTCTTGTTGGTCGTATATGAGAGTCCACTCAACCCGTCGAGCCGTCGGGGCTATATGTCTTCCGAGTCCAATCCCCCCGGGCAATAATGGCTTGACCCTTCTGATCAACCATACCACTTTCCATTGTGTCCACCCAAGAATCTTATTATCATCATCATCTCCACCCTCGCGAGCTCACCTTTCTCGTCTCCTGCCAAGTGATATCGCGCTGTACGCGGATCATATTCAGCGGCACCTCATCCCCGGACGCGTCATCCCGCTGGCTGACATCCAGCGACACGAGCTGCTTGGACAGGTGCTCGCCAGGCGGCCGCAGGATCCGGTTGGCGCCTTCGAAGCTCTGCAGCTCGGAGCCCCTACCCTTGGTGCCCGTGGTGCGCGCGCCCCAGGCGCCGACGCTGCTTGCAAACGTGCCCGAGAACGCCACGAGCAGCGGCCGCAGGGTCGGCAGACAGCCGGAGATGATCCCGCTCGCGCACTCGCATCAGGCACCAGGTGCATGCCTTGGCGAGCGCCCAGGTGGTGTCCGCGGGCTCGAATTGGAAGAGCGTGGAGAAGCGGTAGGCGCTGCTGAACACGACGCTGTTTATGCGTGCGTGATGTGCGTGTCAGCGTATGCCATCGCTGGCCTGACCTATGATCTCCCCTGGAGATAGAGGTGGATGGTAGGATTGAGGGGTTGTGAAGGTGTGCGACGATTGGGAGCTCGGGTGGAAGGAAACGTACAAACTGCCTAGCAGGAATACTGCTATCACCGACAATCGATGCGTGAGGGAGGCGTGCAGCCCCCAGACCACGTGCACCGGCCGCGAGAGGATGGCCACATCGTTCGGCACCGCGTTGCCGATGAAGGATCCCTTGAGGTTGATGCAACTGCCCGGAACGATCGGATCGCACTTGAACACGCTCACGCAGATGATGGCCAGCACCCAGCCGACCGCGATGCTGCCGAGGATGAGTTCCGCGTGGGGAAGATGCGCGCGTACATGAGGAGGATGGACACTTTGATGATCCCTACTGTTGTGCAGTAGACGCACTCGAACGCCATGAGAAGCTGTGACGGGTGTGTGCGTGTATTAGCTCCTGCTTGGCTGGGTGGGCATGGGTTCCAGGTGCCTTGCGCGTGGATCTGGGATCGAACCTTGGCGATTTTCGTGACGTTCGCGCTTGGTAGCTCGTTTGCATGGGGCCCGTGCCGTAGTGAATCACTGTCATTCATCAGTCAAGGTCGAGACAATGAGGCCCTAAGGGCTGGAAGACTCACTGGTCAAATTGAGACCGCAGGTTGCGAACAGAAACACCTATGTTCGGAGAGCCAAAGCATAACCCGACTGAACAGCTTCGACCCTACCGGGCTGAACTTACCACCGACAATAGCATGGTGTATTCGTCCAGTCCCACTGACAGGCCTTTCTTCCTCCGCGCAAGGAGTCGCAAACCACGAAAAAAAACCCCCAAGGTAGTCATGACAATGCTAAGCACCCCGATTCTCTCCTTGGTGATTTTCCTGGACAGCTGTCTCCAAAGCCATTGCTCGCCCAACAACAGTCGACCGAGTCCGGTCACAACATGATTGAATCCGGAGTGAAGAGGAGATCTGAAGGGTGATGAAGAGGGAATCATAACCACGAAACCTTGCTTTTGGCCGACCATATCCCTGACTGGGGAGTTTTCTTTCAACGTCCCTGCTAACGCCCCTGCTAGTGCAGGTACCTTCCGCTGGAGATGAGTCCTCTACTAGGCCGTGAATCCCTGGAGGCCAGGCCGTTAGACACAGTCACTAAGCGTACTACTACGCTAGTTATCTGGGTGGTGCGACGGCCGACCGCACACTATCTTTCGGCGACCGGCCGTTTGTGGGGCTGACAGCGGCCCTAAATCCACCGTCTGGGGAACGACTCGGACTATCATTAGACAACTTAAATGAGCATCCCCCCCTTTCGGGTTCGGACCACGGCATCTCCAGGATAAGGACTATTCTATAAGTACAATGTTGCCTTCCGCAAGCGCAAGAGACACAGACCACCTGGTCAATTCGCAAACACCCAAGTAGTGAGAAAAACGAGATGACTTGAAACTACCAACACAATGACTGCCGACGCAAAACCCATCTTCGTCTTCGTGCCTGGCGCATGGCACACCCCGGACACCTTCGATATCATCCGCGACCTCCTGCGCCAGCGAGGGCATGACACTGATGCCGTCGCCAACCAATCGGCCGGCGCGGCGGACCCCTCCGTTGGGGCTCCACGCCGACATAGCCTACACCAAGCGCGCCCTCCGAGCGCTGGCCGATCAAGGGTGCTCGATCGTGGTGGTCGCCCACTCGTACGGCGGGATCGTCGCGGCGGGCGCGGTCGAGGGGCTCGGGTATACGTCGCGGGCCCGCGCAGGACAGCCCGGCGGGGTGATCCAGGTCGTGTGGATGGCGGCCTTCGTCACGCCCAAGGACAAGTCGCTCCTCGAAATGCTGGGAGGGAACTGGTTGTCCTGGATGTCGTTCACGGTGAGCGGGACGCCCTTTCCCAAACTCCCCTTCCTACCCCCATCCGCATTCAAACGTTCACCGTCAAAACCCCCTCCCACTGACAGTTTCCATGATGCAGACCCCCGACGACGGATACGTCTACACCACCCAGCCCACAAATATCTTCTACCACGATATGACCCCGGACGCCCAGCGCCAGGCCATCGCCAACCTGCCCTGCCACCCCAAGCCCTCCTTCCTTGAGCCGGCTGTCCACGAGCCCTGGCGCGAGATCCCCGTCTTCTACCTCTTCTGCGACCAGGACCAGGCGCTGCCCCTGGCCGCGCAGGAGGCCTTCGCCCAGACCCTGGGCAATCCCGGCCGCTATCACGTGGACGGATCGCACTCGGCCTTCCTGAGCCTGCCGGAGCATGTGGCCGACGGGCTGGTGCTGGCGTTGACAGAGGGGTTGGAGAAGACTGGTGCTGGTGGTGCCGGTAGTGCTTCTGGTGTGGCTAACCGCGTTAGTCAGTGATAGTAACTTATGACTTAGTGGTCTTCGAGCAAGGGTGGACGAATATATATCCTTCTAACATACATAATATGTAGTACGGTTAGTCCGTGCAAGGGGAGGGCTTGACAGGGGCGAGGGGCCAATCATTTTGGGTATTGTAGATAGATCCACCGTTTCTTTGTTTCGTTCGTTGAGCATTGTCCTGCGGTAATGCTGGGTTGGTCCTATCAAATCCCATCGAGATATCTCTGCCGCGGTGGGGGTGGATCAATGTTGTAGCTTGTAAATGAGGTTGTACAGGGTGTGGAAATGAATCGAGCGGGGTTGATTATGGCGTGGATGATTTAGATTGTATTAGAGTCGATACCAGACTGCACTATGTAATGTTACTATGCGCTAAGGTGAAATGCCCGAGTTCCCTGGGTGGTATGCTGTAGTCGTGTTGCATAGCCTCACCTCTTAGAAGAAAATAGAGAAAAGAAGATTAAGGGTGGGAAAAGTGGGCGAAATAAGACCGAAGACTGTCCTCTCCCAATGCAAACTGACCCGATTACTGACCCGAGCTCGCCTTATAAGTCGAGGAAGAACTTGTCTACCTTGTTCCCGAGCTGTTCGGACTTCTCACGGATGCGGCCCTCGTCCATGACGCCTTCTTCGCTGACGAAGGCATCGACCATGTGCAGGGGCACCCATTCGAAGTAGATGTTCTGCACGTCAACGGTGGCGGCGGACTTCGCCTCGTCCTGCTTCATGCCTTCCTCCAACACGCCGACGCCCTTGACGCCGTCGCTGCGCCACGTGGTCATGACCTCCAGCGGGGAGTTGTCCTCGTGCTTGTCGTCGTCGATGACGCCGGGGGCGCCGTTGATCTTCTCGAGGTCGCTGAGGACGACGATCTGGGCCTCCGGGCTGACGTGCCGCGTGCACAGGGCGGCGGGCAGCGAGCCGGTCTTGTTGCTGACGCCCCGCGTGGCGGAGAGGCGGTCCGCCCCGAGCAGCAGCAGATCCACGCCCGCGGCGGCGATAGCGGCCGACGCGTCCGTGTACACTTTCACCCGCAGGTTCTTGTGGGGCGTGTCCGCGAACCGCGACTTGAAGTTGGAGATCAGCGACGAGGCGATGCTGGCGCCCTCGAAGAGCGGCCGGGATTCCAGCACGCGCAGCTCCAGTAGGTGGATATCCAGCGAGGCGTACGTGTCCAGGATGCTGTCGCGGATCGTCGAGCTCGCCGATACCGTTAGGATCGTGAGCTTGTCCCGCGGCTCGCCGTGGTGCAGGAAGTGGTACCGGATGTAGTGCGTGAAGGCGTCTTTGACCTGCGTCGCGCGGCTCTTGCGACTGGCGAGGTGGTGGTCCAGCACCGCGAGCATGCGCTCCCACTTCTGCTCGTCTGAGTGGTTGTTGTTGTTGTCGCTGGGGCTGGGGCTGGAGCTGTGGCTGTGGATTTTATCGTGATGCAGGATATCGTCCAGTTCGGCGAGCACGGCGACGAGCGCGTTCATCGTCGCGGCCCCCATGCTCTCCCGTCCGTTCTTGATCATGTGCCACGCCGCCATGCGCACGTTGGCCCACCATTGGGCGTCCATCCCGTTCTGGGTCTGGACAAGAAAGTCGCGGAAGATCATCAGCGCGATGGTCGTGAGCTCCTGCGAGCCGCTCTCGTGGTCGTTGCGGAGACGCTCGAGCCCCGTGGCAAGGATCTTGCCGGCGCGTTCACTGCGGAGATCGCCTTCAAACCATACGCGGCGGAAACTGTCCTTCAGGCGGGGCACGGTGGGGGAGAGCTCTTCATTGAGGATCGCGGATGGCGGGTGCCATTCCCAGCCTGTATGTTCCCAATCAATCTTGAAGGACGGTTCTTCTTCATTAGCTGTCGATTCTTTAGGCGTTTTTGCATTGTATAGAAAGGCGAATGGATGCACAGTCCACTCGCGTGCGGCGGACGGATCGCTGAATGTGAAGGGTTTCCCCGTACGCCAATGCGCGAGGTTAGAGGAAGTGAGTCCCGTTTCCTCGGAGAGTTCGCGCCAGGCGGTTGCGAGCGGGTCGCGGTCCTCTGACGTTATGCTGCCGGATATCGGGGCAAAGTGGCCGCTAATTCGACTCTTAGATGAGCACTTTTACCTACTAAGTGATCAGGAGACAAACCGATATGTTCTCACTTTGTCGCTGCGTTTAAACAGCGCTACGAGCGGTTTCCCATCCTTGAAATCAAAGATGAAGGACGAGACGACGGCGCGCTTTTCGAGAGGATGAGATCGAGACTGGTCGTCGGGAGGCTCGTGAGACGGTGGTGGGGATGTTGTCATTGTGCTGAGGGTACTGTGGTTGATCATAACAGAAGGTAGTATAGAATTGTTAAGTGTACACTCATGGAAGCGGGTTTGGGTCTGACTCTGTAGATAAGAGAGGGTACGGGCGCGGGAAACACCCCCCGCGTCGAATCGCTGCCAAAGTTCACTCTGTTGGGTTGACGGAATCAAGTGGAGTAGGGCCAGAGAGCCAAGAGGCAAGAAAGAGAGGTATAAATCCCCACGCCAACAGTCGGATGATCGCGGGCGGTTGGTGTCATAGTCACATCACGCCACGGAGGGGGGCGAGAACAAACGAACGACGGTGCATAAAGAAAGACGATAAACGCAGCTTCCCGAGTATGACAGAAAGCTAGGACCACGCCATTGAGCAAGATGTACAAGTACAAAGCGACAGGCTCTAGTTCGACGGGACTGATGCGGGGACTGGCCAGAGGTAGAGGAAGTGGTGGCGGTGATGGGAGGGAGAATGGCTGGCGGCGATGGACGACAACGACGACGACGACGGCGGCAGCACATGACGTCAACATTCGACAAGCAGGCCGGCCTCGCGCTGTATACAGCAGGTTCATGAACAAGAACAAGAACAAGAACAACCACCTTTCCTCAACATCCTCCACTTTACACATCACAGAACACTGGCAACAACGACCATTACACCTCCCTTCAGCTCAAACTTCGCAATTCCACAGTTCAGCCTCCAGAATGCCTACCTACCCCGGTTCCTGCTACTGCCGCAACATCACCTACGACCTCTCGCTCTCCTCCCCGGACGAGGCCCGCACTTCTCTCTGCCATTGCAGTAGCTGCAAGGTTCGACCCCCTTCACATTACTTATATCTCCAACCTTATCCCCAAAGGTCCTTACCCTCTCCCAAAGATCAATGGGCTAACGACGACGGCGGTGGGGTCACTGTGATCGTCACAGAAAGCATTTGGCACCAATTACGGCCTAACAGCCAAGGTCCCCAAGGACGCGCTCACCCTCAAATCCGGCAAACCGAAAGAATTCGTCGGGGACAATGGCTCGGGATCAACGATCCACCGAGAGTTCTGCGGGGATTGTGGGAGCTTTATTCTCGAATATGGGGTAGGTTCTTCGTTCACCTCTACTGTGGGTTTTGAGTCTGGGTTATGGTACACATGCTTAATGTTGCTGGTGAACGACTAGGATGCGGTGAAGAACGATTTCCGTTATATCTGCGTGGGGACGTTGGATGACCCCGAGGTTCTGCCGCCCAAGGGGGAGTTCTTCTGCGAGAGTCGATCGAATTGGATGCCGGAGATTCCTGGTGAGTTGCGGGTATACTCCCTTCTGGGGCGTGTTATGGGAGTGAGGCTAATTTGGTAGATGTGTTTCACAAGCAGAAGATCAAGGAGTGATGGTTGGGTACGGTCTAGTTTATAAATGTTTCTTGATTCAGGGGTGCGTGTATTTTAGAGACCTGCAGTGAGAAATGCGATATCGTTTGCCAAATGCTATACATTGTCTACGATACTTTGCACCACCAAGTCGGGGACGATCAGCTTTTCCTGGATGATCAGAGCATTGAGGTAGTCGTTGCTGTCCACCCGACGGAGCCCAGCGTCGAGAGTCGCCTCAATCCCGGCCTGAACGTGCCGCTTGGCGACACGCCGGCGGGCCTCTTGTAGATCGGTGTCGACAAAGATCCGATAATCGACTAGCTGCGCGACATCGCACCATATCTGTTCGTTCAGCAAGCAATAGTTGCCTTCGATAATGACGACGGAAGTGTCCGGGATGATGACAACGCCGTCCTCCACAGGGTCTTTCGCCTCGTGGTCGAATGAGGGTGCATAGATGGTTTGCAGTTCGGCACCAAGGTCGGCTTGAGGGTCTAATTCTGCCCACTGGCGTAGCTGTTCGATAATGGCAACGAAGCGGGGTGCATCGAACGTCCAGGGCGCACCGCGACGGCGATAAGCTTCTTCTCGGTTGGGGAGCGTATCCAGTACAGCCCTTGAGAGATGGAAGCCGTCCATGGAGAGAAGAGCCGTGGCCAGAGGAGGAGAAGCAGATCGCAGAATCCGAGCGACTGCCGCTGCAGTGGTTGTTTTTCCCGAGCCCGGGATGCCAGCGATAGCTACCAGGAGCCTTTTCTTATGATGGGCGCGGGCTTTCTGGCGAATTATGTCCGCGATCTTAGCATACTCTGCTTCCATCTAGGCCAGAATGTCAGTTGCATTCTTGGTGAGGAGGACAACAGAGACCGGGTGGGGTGGCTGACATACGTCTGTCTACCAAACTGGTCCGCAAGCAATACCTGGGGATGCAGAGATGACACTGACTGCCCCTTTTGAAAACACGGACACATTGCACGCTATTTACTCGATAGTCATGTCAAACCCTTAGGGAGGGGTATCGGTTCACAGTGCTCCGATATCGAGGGGGACTTCATGCGTGGCGACATGGCTGGGCTGGGCTCAGGCATTCCGGCTTTTGAGGAAACTCTTCTGCGCTTGAATGTATGCATTTGTGAAGCAGCCATACATCAAGAAAATAAAATCGTATAAATGGCGTATTGATCCACTCGATCCCGCGCAGAGTGGAGGTCGAGCTCGGGAGAAACAGGCTGCAAGTAAATTTTGGGTTGCTGTTCCCCGCGTGTCCCATATTTTCTGGTCGTGTGCGGGGAAACCGACGTCTTTTTCAGGCTGCCTCATGCAGTCATCGGTCCTTGATTAAGGTTCTTGCAATCGCGGGGTGGGATCCACGACCTGGTTCTGTTTCGTCGATCTGGCGGACTTTCTCATTGATTTCCGGGTCGGGGCTACATAGAAACAAAGAATCTGTTGATCTAAACAATGCGAGCAGCGGGGGCGCACTTGATCGCACGGCACGCCCCAGGCCTGGCAGGCCTTGCAAGGCTGGCACGGTTCGTCTTGCTGAGGGGTAGCGTGGGCTGGCTGTTCAGGTGCAGGCAGTGTATAGCCGGGGGCTTTTGCGGTTGAACACCGGTAGTTGGTGGATTTCATGCGATCGGTGCATTCAACGCGACCCGCAGCAGTCTGGGGACTATCGATCATCCAGACCGACCACAGCCACTGGGAGAAGCGCTTGAGAACGCATGTTCGTCCGATGCGATTTTTGCGGGCGAGATCACACTTCAGGTGGTTCTGGAGACGCGTGATGGCGGTGTCGGTCATGATGGCTGCTGGCTCGGGGTTCTGTGATCGTTTGATTCTGGCAAGGAGGTAGGTTTTGCTGGCGAACATCGGGTAATTATGGCTCTGTTGGCAGGACCACGAGGGTGACAAGTGTCAGACCACTGTCAGACCATCGCATGGGACACGGGGAATTTATATAGACTAGTAGTAGTAATGAATCAAGGGGTTGTTGTCATTGCTGGAGAGGTGGACATTCCCTCCGCTCCGCCCTAGCCAACTTACTCCAACGCACGAGCACGGGCTCTTTCAAAATACTTCCATCGGTTCCCCTCCATTCCACGGGTTTGGGGCGATGATTGGAGTATGAGATCTGGGATCGACCTGACGTCAGGCTCGAGCGGGCGGGGGACGAGCAAATCAAACGGTGTCTTTGTCTGTTGAGAATCCGCCAAAGTGACACCAGCGGAACCGGTTACTATTTCCTGGTCCTGTTCCTTCCGGGCAATGCCTTGGTTTGATGGATGGCACCACTTGGTTGGAATCACGAATGACTCGATTAGTGACCGAGATCTCCGTCCGGTGTTGAGAATCCTCAGTAATCTCTGGGGAAAGTGTAGCTACTCTGCACACCCTATGTTCCTACATATCGATCGGATTGGAGGTTAGGGCAGGGCAGGGCAGGGCAGGGCAGGGCAGGGGCACTGGCACTGGCACTGGCACTGGCACTGGCACTGGCAACCGCAGCGTGTTCAGGCATCGGTGTGATGCCCCCGCGGACTGTATGTACTGTACTTTTACCCCACTTGCACTGTACTGTACCTCTCTCTCCTTTCCTCTCATGGACAATTCATTCATTGATAACACCAAACACCACAAGGCCACCACTAGCAACACTACCCTACAGAGTAGTCACCAGTGGGCCACGTCTGACAGCGATCAGCATCACCACTTGCATCCACTCCGCTCGTACCTTTATGATACCTCATATTGCCAAGGCGATCGACAAGAATTATTTGACACAATTGACTCATCCAGTCGCACGATCAACAATCACAACTAAGTAATCCCTCTCGGCAACACCCGAGCATCGATTTTGTTCCACTGCGACCGGGAGATCTTTCTATCGAGCACTCCATCGAAGCACTTCACCCTGGTTTCCGCATGCTCGATCATCCATATCTCCCCACTCTTCAACCCAGATATCTGCAAGTATCTTCTGTGATAGAAGTACCCCGGAGAGATCCCTATCCTCGGACGGGCAGAAATGCAGGCCGGGTTCGAATTCTCCGATGTGATTCCGTGGACGCAGGAAGCAAGGAGCTTCTGTCAAACCCTTAAAAGCCATTAGCAAATATGGATGGCGGCAGCCTCTTGCAGCTACAGACATTCTTCCCCTCCTTCACTTCCCTCTCTCATGCCTGATTGAGTTCTTCGCCGGTCGAGTTGTCTCTACGGTCAATGACTTGTCAGCTCACCTGCAGCGCCGCAGCACCGTTCCGGTAAAAGCGGTTCAGGCTGCTCGCGTGTCTTCTGCCGAGTTTCGGCCTTGTCTGCATCGTCCCCTGAGCAGCCAGCAGCCTCCCCCCCCCGCCCCCCGCCCCCCCAGAAAAGACACTTAAGGTGGCATGCGCCCACAATAACTGCTGATGTCCGCACAGTGAGCATCTCAGAAAGGCTTAGAGAGGGGGGTGGCAGATTGACATTATCCTGAATGGCAAGATCTGTCCCCTGAGCCCTTTCTATCTGTGCATACCCTTTCCTGTGGCGAACTACAAGCGGTCCATCGCAAGCGAGAAACCTTCATATCAAACAGCTGGCCAGCAATCGCAATCATGCACGCTTGCGAGCCGAAAGAAGAAGTCAGTCCTGCCCTGGGGCAACCCGACCCTGAGCAAAACCAAGGACACGGTCGGAAACGCTCTGCGCGAAGGCGTCTCGGCCGCAAATCTGCTGAGGCTCACGACTCCTTCACGTTGATGGATACCATTGGTTATCTGCTATCAACTCCAGATAGCACCATGACAGCCTTCCACTGGGGTAGGTCGGCTGCAACTCTTTAAACCTGATCGTTGACTGACCACGAAATCCACAGGCGGTCCGAGCCTATCTGCAACTTAACAGGCAGCATTCATCATTCAGGATACGAGTTCCTGTGACCCAACCCACTGTTCGATATACCTTGGGGGTCCGGTGGTTCCCAGATTGGAGACTTGTGGAAGCCTCAGCACACCAGAGATCAGGGTAATCAGAGCCACGTTACGCGAATTCTTGTTTCTCATTCCACCTGTTCATTGACATGTGATACTGCGAGTTGCATGTTTAGCTCTTGTGGCTGGTGGCGGTGAATCGTCCAATGTTGTCTGTCGATATAACATACCCGGCTATTATACGCCATCAATCAATTGTGAGAAAAGCGGCTCATCGATGGCCTTCCAACCAGTACCACACATCTCTCTTTCCTGAGGCGAAAGCCATGATTGAGTGGTGGTCTAGATCTCCCACCGTCTAAATGAACCTGCTTCATTGCGTTTTAGCATTTTATCTTGATGTCGAGGACTTAGAACAGACATCTCGAAAGTGGACAAGACATTTATACATGGACAATCCCGCGAGGTCAGTGATGTATCTCTCCGCTGGCCAGTAACCGACCTCTCTTCAGCCGCCAGTGCCTTCAACCTTTCTTATGCCGCCTGCCTTGCCCTTGATCTCCCTCACTCTGTGGCAACCCAAACTCCTCTGAGCCCCGAACAGAATGTCTGGACAGGTCGAAAACATCCCCCTGCACACCCGCGAGCCCGGTGACGAGATCACCGAGGCTGACCTGGCCAAGCTGCTGGCGGCATCTGACCCTCTTACCTCTGCTGCCGTTGCTACTGCGGTCACCCAAGGGACTAGTACTATTACCTGTACGTGATGATCTTCTAGCTGGCCCTGCCAAAGTGCGTGTTCGTTCATTCCCGGTGTCAGTTAACCTCGAAGACTTGTTCGTCGAATATACGTACGATGACGAGGATGAAGATGGTTTTGGTGACGAGGATGGAGATGACGAGGAGGGCGAGGAGGACGATGACGGTATGGATGAAGTCTACTATAATGAGGCTACGGATGGATGGCTCGGGCTTGGTGGGCGAGTGTCTAGGATGTAAGGATGGGATCTCGATTCGAGCGTGGGGTTAAGATCGATTCATTCGATCGATTCCATCGATCGGTTCACTCAATCGATTCGATCGATCGGTTCATTCAATCGATTCGATCGATCGGTAGTTGATCGAGCGGTCCTTCCGGCGTCTCAAGTATTTTGGTGTGTTTGGTGAAGAACTCATCAACTTGGATTCTATTCTAGCTTAGGGTTCTAGAGAACAGTCCACGGCGCGTTTCAGACTGTGTTGTTACGATATACTTCAAGGCTAGCATAATTCAAAAAAGTCCTACACCATTTCCATCGTCCAGCTTATGCAATCGCAAGATATGCAAGGGAATAAGATACACGCCTACTTGAAGGGTAGGGTTAACCCCTCCCCTTCCACGCATCAACCAGAAACTCCCTCACCTTGACCGGTTCGATCTCGGGGAATCGCTCATTCAGCCGCCCTTCCACGGGCAGATCGAAGACCCCCGCGATGGTGAGCCGACTGACCAGCACCGTCACCTCGTGGGCTTCCTCCTCGGTGTAGCCCTCTGGGATGGCAGGGATGGTGACCTGCCCTTGGTTGATCTTCTCCGGGCTGTCATACACAACGGAGAATTTTCGGCCTGTCTTGAGGAATGTCTGGTCAAATTCGGTCCTTGTCTCGTCTCAATGCCTCTCCACGGTGCCTTTTCTTTTGCCTTGTGCCTCAGCTTCCACCCTCCACTCCAATCAGACATCCCCATCTCCTGGCCTCCAAAGCTAAAGCAAAGGGAAAGGCAAAACTAACCTCGAACCTCCTCCACAATCCCCAACAACTGATTATACGTAACCACATCCCCAACGACCACACTAAACTCCGGCCACTCAGCGGCATCCACCTCCTCGAGCAACCGCACCACAAACCGCGCCATGTCGTACGTATACGTCATGCACAGCCGGTCGTTCCCGTCGCCGGGGATCGCTGCCCGGCAGTTCTGCACGTCGATCCCAAACACCCCCGGCTGCAGGTGCGTCCGCGCGTGCGGCATCCCCCAGTAATCCATGAAGAAGCCGGGGATCACCCGCGTCGACTTGAGGGATGGGGCGTCATGTTGCAGCTTGTTGGCCGCGGCGAGCCAGTGTTTTATGCTGGGGTCGATTTCAAGGTGGCTTTGGGATGTTAGTATCTGGTCGGTGGGTGGGTGGGTCTGGGGATGGGTCGGGTTGGGGGCAAAGGAGGGGGAAGATTACTCGGGTGTCTGGATGAAAGAGTACTCGCTTGGAATGAATTGGGTGACGGTGGGGGATTGCTCGGCCGCGTCGATGAGGTTCAGTTGCGCTTGGCTGTTGGCGGAGTCGGTAATGCCGATGGCCGAGATTATGGTCGTGATGCCCTGGGTGGTGAGGAGGTGCGCGAGGGCGGGAATGTCGGAGTAGTTGATTTGGAGATGGTGGGTGCGTGAGGTGGGGGGGTCTTGGGGAGTCTGCGTGAGGTGAGCTTTGGGGTTTGAGGGCGGGGTTTATGTATTTTGGAGCTGAGGATGAGGATAAGTTACGCACGCTGCGGGTTAGGATGATGATCTTGTGGGTGGTTTCTTCGAGGAGGGTCTCGACGATGGTCTTGCCCACGCCGCCGGTGCCGCCTGCTACAGCTATGATTGTCATTTTGAGGGTTAATGGGGGGCTTTTGTGGGTGGATGATCTGGGTGAATTGGGGTAGGGTTGAGGTTGATATATGCGTGTAGTGGAGAGGATGATGATGACTGGTTTGGATCCGGTGGCCCCGGGCCGCTGGGGATCGGGGATCCACTTGCCCTGTCCGCGGTCGTGGGCTCTGTTGGTTACTTTGCTGGTTGCTACTTTATTGTGCGTACCATGATTCAAGAGTCTAGGTTTGTCAAAGCAGACATGCTTGTACTAATGCTATTGTTCTATTGTGATGTTGGGCATCAGGTCGGACTAGGCCTCCTGTCTGAAGAGAGAGTCGAAGCTTTATACTGTAAATTGAAGCTGTAGACTACATCATTGTTAGTTGGATGAGTCAATATCGGGTCCGGATCTTGTATCAAGTCTACTTGTGAATGCATTCCCAAGTTTTATTATTTCGATCTTTCAATCAGGCGCAAAATCATATTACAGGGTGGCTTTTATAACCTGTGCATAGCTTTGTAACATATACCCACTAGGTAAGTACCTACTTATCAATTCCTCGATGGTCTAACGGTCATGATTTCCGCTTGTCAATCCTCAATAGGAACAAGCGCGGGAGACCTGGGTTCGACTCCCAGTCGGGGAGATTTCCTTTTTAGGTCATGCTTTTTGTTACCACTAACGCACCATGAAGATCTTTGCTATCGTCTCTCGCCAAATGCAGCATATTTTAAAATCGAACATTTACCAGTGTTCAGCAATTGCAGTCCTTAACACGATTCAAGACCGCATAAAAAGTCTCGACTATCGTCGAGTGGCTTTTCGATCCAGATCTTAATGCAACCCGCTCTAACTGTAATTCTCTCTTCAATCACGCCATTTACCAGCCCCACACTTTCGGTATTGAACTTCAGAACTATGCAATTGAAGCTCACAGAAGGTAGTCTAACTCAATAGACTCAAGTAAACAGCTCACTCCTTTGGTGGGGTTCTCGTACCACAATTATGTAACATCCGACCGGGACTGAGTCACGGGCGAGGGGCACGTCATTAAATTTCATCTTATCCTCCCCACGATCCAACCCCAACTTTTCCAACAACACCCTCAATCCACACAATTGCAGCCATCATGAAGAGAGAAGACATCACCTACATGGGCGCCGGCCCGGCTGCCCTCCCGACCAACGTCCTCACCACTGCCGCTGAGGCTCTGTTGAACTACCAAGACACTGGCTTGTGAGGGGCTCCGATCCCGGCGATAAGATCGCCAATCCGTGCAACCATTTTTTCTGACAGCTCAATTCTATAGGGGTGTCGCAGAGCACAGCCATCGCAGCGAGCTGGCCTCGAATATCCTGAACACCGCTAAGGCTGACCTCGCCAACTTCCTCGACATCCCTTCCTCCTACGAGATCCTGTTCATGCAAGGTATTCCCGAAACCCCTCCGTCATTGCGGCTACGGCTCGGTCGTCTGACTCGTCCATTGCAGGTGGTGGCTCCGGCCAATTCGGCGCAGTCGTCTATAATATCGTTTCTGTTTGGGTCGAGAAGCAAAGACAGAAGATCGTGAAGGAACACCCCGAGATCAGCGACGAGGATGCGCTGAAGGAGGTTCTCAAGAAGGTCGAATCGGAATTGCGGTTGGACTACCTCGTGACTGGATCGTGAGTGTCCCAAACGACCGAGTACAACGCTCTTGGACTAATTGGCCGCGCAGGTGGTCATTGAAGGCCAGCCAAGAAGCTGCCCGTCTCCTTGGACCCGAGTATGTCAACATCGTCAGTGACTCGAGAACGATCAACGATGGCAAGTTCGGTAAGATCGCGGACGAGTCCACCTGGTCGTTGAGCCCCAAGGCTGCTATGGTATACATGTGCGACAATGAGGTAGGCACCCGGTGCTGCGACCGTGGTTGAAGCCCTGCTGATGTGCATGCCCTGTAGACCGTCGACGGTGTCGAATTCCCTAGCTTCCCCAAGGTGCTGGAGCCCAAGGGAACGGACAACGACCCCATTGTCATCGGTGATTTCTCGTCGAACATCCTCTCCAGACGTATTCCTGTTGAGGTAAGGATGACCCGAGATGTCGTTTTAGCATGCGCTAACTCGTAACAGAACTACTCCGTCATCTTCTTCGGAGCGTAAGGACAGATCCATACCATCTCCTCAATTATGGTACTAACCCCCAAAAGTCAGAAGAACCTTGGTACTCCTGGAGTTACTGGTGTGATCATCAAGAAGGATCTCCTGCCCCCCGTCTCTCCTCCCGCCTCTCCCGCTATCCTGCGCAAGCTCGGTCTGCCCATTGCGCCCACCATCCTCGACTACTCTGTCATCGCCAAGAACAACAGTCTCTACAACACTCTGCCCATCTTTGAGTATGCAAAGTGAAGCTCTTTTAGTTGTGCGTGGCTAATGCCATCTAGTGTCTACATTGCCGGTCAGGTGTTGAAGAAGCTGCTTGCCGAGTTCCCCAACAAAGTTGATGGACAGCAGGCCGTTGCCGAACAGAAGGCGAACCTTATCTATCAGACTCTTGACGCATACCCTGATGTCTACCGGGTTGTCCCGGACAAGAGTGTCCGCTCGCGGATGAACGTATGCTTCCGTGTGACCAAGGTATGTCCATCGCAGGAACGAAGCTGCACGCGAAATACACTAACTCGAGCAGGGGGGCAACGTCGACGAGTCGGAGAAGGCTTTCTTGAAGGGCGCCGTTGAGCGTGGCGTTACCGGTCTCAAGGGCCACAGAAGCGTCGGAGGTGAGTTCAACTGCCGGTTGCATAGCTCATGATAGTGACTAACGAGATGTGTAGGTATTCGCGCCTCCAACTACAACGCGATCCCCGAGTCCGGCGTCGAGAAGCTTGTTGCCTACTTAAAGGAGTTCGCTGCCTAAGGGTGGCTGAGAGATCAAAAGTCATATCTGCACATAAATGGCCATCGTATTTTGACGAGGCCAGGCGTTTCGAGGCTAAAAGGCTAAAAGGCTATATACAGAGACTGAGAATATAGTCCCGAGCTCCTACAATGGCTGGCTCAACCATTAACTATCTTGTTTTTCTCGCGAAACGGACTGCGCTGTATCAAATATTAATATCAGAATTCAAGGAGCATTAGAAGTAACTATATTGTCCAGCCTACACCATGAGGATTGGCGCATAAACCCCGGACGAGACTCGGCCCTGTGAAACTGTTTAAATAGGCGGTGGCAGAAACACTGCTGTGGCACGCAGAATGGCTGCGGAGTTCAAAGCGGGCGACTCCAGATGAACAACGGGCGAAACTCGGCCTGCGAAACTGGTCAAAAAAGGCGGTGGTAGAACTAGAGCTCCCGGTGCTGACCGCCCCGGTGGCAGAATGGTCGCAACCTCGCTGCAGAAGTAGGCGATTCCCAGGCCTAACAGCTGGCTAAAACGGAAGGGTGAAACTGTTCTTTTTCTCACCGCCTTCTTGCCTCGGCCTCGCTCTCGCGCACTGGTGACAAAGCAGGCAGAAAATACGAGCGTATTCTCGCCTTGAGGCAAAAATGATTAGTGAACAACTGGGGCCGAGGCGGAAATCCACGAATCCCCATCTCCCCTCCCAAACAAGACAACTTCGTTTTCTGCATAGCCAAGAATTATGCGTGCATTAGCACAGGCTTTGGGGCGTCGAGATTATATTACCCAACGGTTGACAATCTGACCGCGCCGATAATCGCCCCGTTGGGTGACATCCTTCTCGCTGACGATGCTGATGAATCCTCACGCGTGGCAACCGGCTGATAGCATACAAGTTTGAGTGACCGTGTCTATAACAGCTCATCCGCGGCGTTCCTATTTTTCCAAAGAGTAGCATTCGGTCGGTCACCTAAGACATAAATACCCCACCTATGATGCTATGGCGCATCTGAATTATGCCGCAACACAAGAAGGTGCAACGGATACCGACGCCACTCTAGTGCCCTGGGAGACTATCCATGATCAATTCTTTGGTTCTACTCACCCTGCGTCGGATTTAATGGCGTCACCACAGATCACCTCGCTGCTCTCAGCTTGCTCCTACCCTGTGCCCGAGGCTGCTGATTCGTTACATGAAGACCATACCCAGCCAACCTTATTCGGTGGCATCACGTCCGACCATGTGTTTGAGATCGATAGTACTTCAAGCACAGTCGACAGTCAGCAGACGCTTGCAGATCATGTTGTAGCAGAGCGTCCCAAGCGCCAACGCGCTGGGGCTGAGAAGCCTACATCAGGGGCAAGTACGACGGCCAAACGAGGTCGGCCTCGAAAGGTGCTCGATGAATCCCTCGCAGAAGATCCTGAAGAGGTATGTCTTTGTTATCATCATTGCCTGATCTGACTTGCAGCTGCTTAAATATTACTCAGAGGCGACGGCGGCAGATTCGCCTTGCGCAGCGCGCCTATCGCTCGCGGAAGGAAGCGAACATGTCCTCCCTTAAGAGTCGCATCGGAGAATTAGAGTCCGTAGTCGAGCAGATGAGCTCGGCTGTACTTTCGCTCAGCGACCAGCTCGTTCAGTCTGGGGTTCTAGAGTCGAACCCTCACCTGGCGGAGCATCTGCACCATACTGTGCAGACGTGTCTTAATCTGGCGAAAGATGCCAACAAGGACGGAGCAGACTCGACAGCCCTGGTGCCTTCGTCAGCATCCTCGAGAACCAGTTCTCAATTCTCTATGCCTATAGACTTTGGGAAGACCTACCCTCCTGTTCTACCCATCTTCCAATCTGAAAAGCAGGTAACGCCATTCAGACCGGCTCTGAGGCCTCCTCCCCGGCAGCTGGTGCTCCCGGATATCCAGGAGATGGAACTGTCTGTATTCATGAGCCGATTGCACATGTCGTGCATCTATCACGGTTGTCTTGCCTTGTGCGATGACAACATCAGCACAGAGCGCATAATGAGACACTTCTGCTTGCCGCTTACCATTGTGGATCGGAAGACCCTAACGGGGCTGTTCTACGCCGCGCTTAACACGAAGGACGGAAAGAAACGCTACGAAGACTGGAAGGACATCCCTTTCTTCAGCCTGGGCGGAGCAGGCACCCATTACCCGTGGACTGCCGCCAAGGCTGGATTGGCAAGTTACCTACATCGGCCTGGTGTTCGATGGGTGGTTCTGCCGGAGCCTCTGCTAGAGTTCCCACCGCAACTACAGAAAGTCCTCGCTGGCGATTGGTTTGACATGGGTGACTTGGAGGGTTATCTTCGTGAACAAGGCGTTCGCCTGTTCGCACATGCGCCGCCAGAAGTTGAAAAGGATTCTCACCAGCCTGCTCCTGCGGTGAATGCGAAGCGGCTGATTAAAAGTATGACTTTTTGAGTATTGTGTTGAGTTTATTTGCTAATATGTTGTAGTTTTGTCGGGGTGTGGTATTTGTCTTGGATGGACACCCGGTTTCCGCCGTCGCGATGTGGAAAAGGCTCTCAGAGAGTGTACTGGGGGCTGAGGTATGGATTGAGGTGTACTAACTTCGAAGTGAAGGCAGGCGAATGCCCTCGTTTCGAGCAGCAGAACGGCTTCACATTCCCCATGGATGTGATTTGCGTGACACAGGAGGAAAAACCGGCTCATTTTCTATGATATGGCCTGTTCTCAGCACGCCTGCCCGAGACCGGACCTGTCCTGCGAAGGAAAGACAGCCTTGCATTGACTCATGCTTTACCATGATTATAACAGCGTACAGTCATAGGCAGAACGTCGAGAACAAGTGAAATTCAGATGTCTGAGATAGAATGAGCACTTGTCTCGAAGCCACATCCGGCGATTGACTTCACCCAGGAACCTCCTTCCGGAGGTTGGAAGTCGTCGCGTGGCTTTGACTCTGACATGCGAATGACATGTCGCCGCCGCCATGTTTCGGTTCTGTTCGAACCAGATCTCTATGGAATGTCCTAAAATGATGTTCGTGGCAATTTTACGATGGTGAATGCAATAGGTCGGATTTCACCATTTTAGCGAGGGACTACGGAGTGTCTGGCAACCTGTCACACCCTGCGGAACTCAGGGTCTACCATGGGGGCTTTCCCATTTTGTGGTCAAACCTACCAAAGCGCTCCAACAGGCCCCATTCTTGGTCCGGACATGACCGAATCGATAGATCAGGCATTACCGAGTCATGCAGGTTGCTAGGGACCTCAATGGCGATTCCCTTACCACAAAGTGTACATTTAGAGCGAGAAAAATCCCTAGAATGGCCAATTCTGCCCACAGCACGAGCCATGGGTTCTCTTGGCTGAGCTGTACCTGAAAACGAGCAGTCAAGCCATGACTCTTCCCCTGTCTTAGCCACCAAAGTCAACCGTAGCGACTAGCGAGGGAGATACGAGAATCGGAGACTAGCGCGGATCAGGGTTCAAGCTGGGAGACTGCCGGGATAAACTAGCGAGCACGGAGATTTTCAACCTGCATGTCAGATTTTGGGTCCCTGTCAAGATAGGATTATCATGTGTCATGCGAGATGTGGAAGCAAGCCAAGAGAATATGACAGGCGTCGTCAGTGTTGCGTGGAGGGGGAAGCCTTCCCCATAACTGGATGTGGCACAGACTTGTCATTTCCCGCCAGCAGAGAGAAGTTTCGTAAGTCGACGGTGGAAGCCTCTGTGGTCGCTCGAAATACTCGTAATCACTCAATATCCGCTATGGCCGACATCTAGCCGTACTACTGCTAAGTTACGGCTCTTTGGGCCGAGGGACCCATAGCACCACAGGACCACATGTCCAGGACCGTAAGGCCGTCTCCATCGGATTTGCTTGGCTTTCTCTCAGCCCATGGACAGGATTCCTAGTATTTCGTAGCTCAGGGGGAAAGCTCGGGTCAAAAATGTAGACTTTTTTTGCTTGCTGGGGACGGAGATTAGGTTCAGGGACACTGGGACAGTGACCCTGGTCGGGAGGACAAGAAACAAGAAATGTTGGAGACTCGAGTGGGAAACTGGAATAACCTTAGGACTTGCAGTTAAGGACAATTACATGGGATAGATGAGCATGGGAAATCTACATGAGGTGATCGTCGACTGGAAGGAGATGGGAGGGGCGGTCAGCCACGCGTCGGCGCGGTTGAGCCACAGCAGAGCGGGAGAATCGCCCCAGCCACAGTGGACGCTTTCTCAAGGCACCAGCCAGGCAGCCAGGCAGCCAGGCACCACTTGCAGCGAGCCGCGGATGCGCGTTTCTGACATTCTTTCTTCCGCAACTGCCTCAGTTACTGGAATGGCATCTCCAGTCTCCTCCTTTCTTTATGGATTATTATCCATTCATTCAGTGCAGATAATTGCTGAAGGAAACTCAATTCTCATACTCGGTTCGAGTCTTCTTTGATGCTATTCTTGTCGTTGTTCGCTCCTCCACTTGGTCTCAAAGAAACAACGGCGTCGTCCGTGTTGCTCCACCCTCTCCGTGTCTAGAACTCTGGCCTCTGGACTCAACCCCGACGCGGGAATGGAGCATAGTCTATCTACTCCTCGCACGATGCCTTCTGCCTCGGACTGGTGCCCCGGATCGGCAACTCTGCCCGCGGCGCTGCTGGACTGGTCGAGAATGTGCACGGGCTGATGGTTGCCCCAGCACGGCTCCGTCTCTCACCTCCCTCTTTCTTCTGCAGCACAGCAACAACACGGCTTGATGGCGATCGGTCGAAGATACAATCAGTAGATCAACAATCCTGGTCCATTGTACATATCGACTTGTCCATTCTGCATGCAAGACTTGACTAGCTAGCAGCGCAATCGCACCCAAGACAGTCTCCTGTTTCATCTTCCCCCTCAGACAGTCTCGTCGCGTTTCAGGTTTCCACCACCACGCCTCTGCTCTGTTGTTCGATCCACCCGACATGCCGAGCCCAAGAATGAAGGAAAACTAAACTCATGCATCCCCGCTTGCTGATTCGTTCCGTGCCTGGGAAGCCCGCTAACGCGGCACGAACCACCCTTTCTCCCTCTCTCCAATGGCCGTGTTGCCTTGACGCTCGGTGAATGGGCCCAGCCGACAATGACTAGCCGTTTCGCTATGGCCGGCGACAACCATGCTGGTCCGCAGCCACTCAACATTGGAGCTCTGGGTAGGCAGGGTGTCTGTCGGGGCTCGCCAGGGGGAGGGTGTGTTATGGTTCTATTTAGGATTTTACGGTTCTATTATATTATTGACCGACCTGCCCCCAGCCGTGAGTCGGGTTTCGCATACTTCCTTTTCTGTCGGTTCGATGTACATTCCCTATCTTTCTTCTCTCTCCCTTTCCGATTGTTCATAATTCCTATACATTCTTTTGTTTCCTTTCGCTGCAGATTGATCTCTGCGCCTCGATCTTCGTTCGGTCATTCTCAATCCACGTCATCGGCCTTGAAGGCTGTTGTCTGTCTATCATTCCTTACCACTCTTACTGACGCCAATCGTTGCGGGAAAGCCTCTTCCGCGATCTCATCTTCCACCCTTCCTCAGGGCCTCCCTTTTTTTAACATTTGCATCGTCCTCGCTCGCTTGATATCAACAGTGACGATGCCTTCTTCATTCACGCTTCTGAGCGTGAGCTCACTCGCTCTTATCTCCCCTGCCATTGCCACCAGCTATAACCTCGTCCAGACCTGGCAAGGCGAGGGTTTCCTCGAATACTTCGACTTCTACACCGGCGCTGACCCCACGAACGGTTTTGTCACCTATACTAACCAGAGCTATGCTGAGAGTTCCGGATTGGTCAAGGTCAACAACAATGGCTCCTTCTATATGGGTGTTGACCACACAACAAAGCTAAGCACTACCGGACCCGGTCGCGAGTCGGTCCGCATCGAGAGCAAGAAGTACTATGACCACGGTCTTTTTATCATTGATCTCGCACACATGCCCGGTAGCGTATGCGGTACCTGGCCTGCTTTCTGGTCGACCGGTGCCAATTGGCCAGCCGATGGTGAGATTGATATCATTGAGGCCGTCAACTTGAACACGGCCAGCGAGATTGTCCTTCACACCAGCGGCACCTGTGACGTCTCCGCCCAAAGTGATATGACTGGTACCTTGACTGCCACCCACTGTGGTGAGGATGCTGGGACCACGGGTTGTGTCGTCCAGAGCTCGGAGGGCTCTTCAGGCACCCCTTTCAACGAGCAAGGTGGTGGTGTGTATGCTATGGAGTGGCAGGAGGACTACATCAAGTTCTGGTACTTTGCTCGTGACTCCATCCCCACGTCGATCACTGCTGGCACCCCCGACATCTCTGCCTTCGGCACTCCCATGGGCCACCTACAGGGATCTTGCAACTTCGCCGAACATTTCAAGTCCCAGAAGTTCATCTTCGACACTACCTTCTGTGGTGATTGGGCCGGCGGTGTTTTCCTCTCGTCTGGCTGCCCTATCAGTGATAAGACCAGTGCTACCAAGAGCTGCGTTGCCTATGTTGCCGAGAACCCTTCTGCTTTTGAGGAATCCTTCTGGGAGATTAACTACATCAAGATCTTCCAGACTGGTGGCGCGACTGCCTCTGCCTCTGCTTCTAACGCTGCCAGCAGTGCCACCTCTGTTGCTCAGTCTCTCTCTACTGCCAGTGAGACCGAGTCTGTCGCCGCTGCTGCTGCCTCAACTTCGGTCGCTACTGTTGCTACCAATGCTGCTGCTACCAACGCTGCTGCTACCAACGCTGCTGCTACCGACGCTGCTGCTACCAACGCTGCTGCTACCACTGCTTCTGCCAACTCTGCTGTGACCGATGCCGCTGCCACTACTGCTGCTGTTTCTAACGGTGCTGCTACCAACGCCGGCGCCACATCTGCTGCCACCACCATTGCTCCCGCAGCTGCCGCCGAGTCCGCCTCTGCCGAGTCCGAATCCACTTCGCAGGTCGCCACTGTCGGTGTTATCTCTGTTGCTGGTGAAGTCTCGGGCTCCACGTCCAAGTCCACTCGCTATGTGACCGTCACTGCTACTGCCACTGTCTGCTCTGCTGAGAGGACTGGTGCTACTGGTCTTACCGGCGGCAGCGCTTCCTCCGGGTCCAACGCTAGCGGGGCTGGTTCCTCTCCTGCTGCCTCCTCAACCATTGTCAGCGGTGCTAGCGCCCAGGCCAACGGGTCTGGCACTGGCTCTGGCTCTGGTTCGACTGATTCGACCGGCTCCACTGGTTCAACTGGCGTTATTGGCTCTACTGATTCGACTGGTTCGACCGGCTCTACTGGATCTACTGGCTCTACTGGCTCTACTGGATCTACTGGATCTACTGGATCTACTGGATCTACTTTTTTTTTTAATCTAGCAGCAGTTCTACTGGCTCAACCGGCTCTACTGGCTCGACTGGCTCTACTACCGGCTCCTCTACCGGCGCTTCTGCATCTGAAGAGTCGCGCACTGGTTCTTCCGACAACACCCCTTCCACTGGTGGGTCGACCACCCAGTCTAGCACCGGCTCGTCTCCCTCTTCTTCTACCGTCAGCGGTGCTAGTGCAGAGTCCAATGGTAACCAGGGCG